AACATAATTAATAACTCAATCCAAGCGGAAACCCTAAGACAGGCATTCAGTGCAGTTTAGTTCAGCTCAGTGGAGTTGAGCTGCAAATGCATTTAAATAGTAGTTGCACTTGATATTTCCCCAAGAAGGCACTGAAAGAAATTCATTTTTTCCAAAGACGATTTCTTAGTGCTCTCTAAAACAGAAATATATATATTGCTTGATTTTGTTAATTTAAAAAAAAGATTTTATTATTTCAGGCATTTTTTTTAAATTATAAAAATGTGTATATATATTTGGTATTTTTTTTTAAATTAAATAATAAATTTTGTTCCATAAAATGTATATATATTTATGTTTTCTGTTTACATTTAGCTAATCATAAATGTTAAACTTAATAGTAAGTTATCGAGCTCTGTCTGTGAAAGATTTTATTGATTCAGGCATTTTTGTTTAAATTATAAAAAATTGTATATATTGATTTTTTTTTATTTAATAATAAACACTTTTTTTATTTCATATAATAATATTTTTGAATATTATGCATTTTATTTTTATTTCTGAATACCAATATAAAGTATTTTCTTGAAATATTTAAAATTAAAGTCTTTGGAAAAAGTTGTTTTTCAAACATAGAGATGACATTTCGCGTGAGCAGTCACGACCGCTCAAAACTATTGCCGCGAGACCCACGCACCTCGAAAAGCGGCAATTAAATCCGGCAAGGCATGCGCTTAAAGCCAACTGGAAAAGGCGGAAGCGTCGGCCTTTTGACGCACTCATTGTCGGCCAACCTGTGATTATAGTTTTCGTTGTTTTTTTTTAGTCTGTAATTAGCACTGGGAGATGGTAGATGAAGAGTGCGTCTAACGGAGGGACATTGTTGGTATTTACAAGGAGGCCCGGAACCCCGGGGCCGTGGGCGTTTTCGGGTAGGCGTGTTTGATTGTTCAATCATAGGCGGCTTGGCCGGCTCAGTGCCGTAATCACAGTGCTCCAAAGTACTCTGTTTGCCTTGGCAATTATACGGAGGGGAGGGAAGGTACCTAGTATACCTAGTCGGATTATTGGTATCCGTTTGGCGGGGGCTGATCATGATAAACGGCCACTGAATGGTTTTATAATGGCTTACACCTCAGGCGAAAATGCACGAATGATAAGCCCTGGCCAAGGCAAATCTACACAAGGGGCAGAGTGATGATATTTAATAAATTAGTAGATAGCTTAAGAGGCTTAACATTAAAAACACGGAGGTTTTTGAATTTTGTTTGAGAAGAGAACTTCAGCTGTTGATTGGCAATTATAATTTTCTTAAGTAGAAGCTACTTTTAAGAAGGCATTTCATTTTTATTAAATTATTTCTCTTCTGTAGACGTTTTAAAAATGATTCAAGAAAAGATCCAATTTTTCGTCTGTTAAGAATATCCAAAACTAAAAAAATTGTATTGATTTAAAAAAAAAAAAACAGATAAATTCCTATTTTCGACAGAATTGTCTTTAAAAAAAACAACAAACAAAAAACAAACGTTGAAAAAAAATAAAACTAATTTATTAAAAATAAATTCATTCGTTCATTATCCGGAATATATATCCATTAAGAATGTGCACAAAATATCCATTATCCAGCTAATCCATTTTTAAGAAATCGGAATCATCGACTTTGACATTCTCATATAAATTAATATACAGCTCCGAAAATATTTATCTTATTGAGTTCATATTTTCAAAAAACATCCACACATACATATATTTAGATTGGAATAAAATACAAAAATTGTAGAGCTTTTAAAAATCATAAGAGACTATAAACTGTAAAGAAACAGAAAGCTTTAAAGTGGCACAAAAATAAACATTTAATGTTCTAAAAAAATAGCAATTTAACTTTTTATTGCATTTTTTTACATAAATATTAGCAAAATATTACAAGATGTAAATTATTACTTTGAATATAAGAAAGGAAAGCTAACTTTGAGCGAAGCAGAAACTGATATACTCTTGCAGTTATGATCGGATATAAATCACATATATCTGATATAGTTGGCCGATCTTTGTGTGAATTTTATTATTAAACCAATTTATTAGAATACAAAAGTTGAAAATGCAAAATTCCTAATTTGGTATTTTTACCAAATACTATATCCGATCGTTCAGATATATGCCAGCTAATGAAATTCGATAGGTTGGATCCCTCAAAAATAAAATCGATGGAAAATCCCACCTTTCTTAAACACCACCAGCTCTCAAAACACCAATGTTATGACATTGATCGGAAATTAGTTAATTATGTACATATATAGAACTTTAGGAAATAGGCGATATTCATACGACATATACTGGAGTGGGAGATGTCTTCTTCACTTCGATTCATACTTTTAATCAAAATAATAATGCTCTCTGCGAGGGTATAAAAAACAACAAATCAACAAAACAAAATAACTAACTGATAAGAGACTCTTCTGGGCCTGAACTTGAAATTTTTTTGTTAAAGATAAGGCGACTTCTACGTCATTTAAATACTTTATTATATTAGGAAAATTTCATTGAATTAAATAATTAAAATAATTAATACTAATAGTATCAATAAGAGCTATGTATATTTATAATAATATTACTAAAATATAAAGGGAGAATGATGTGTTGAAAATTTTGAGGTAATAGCAAGTTTCTTTTGGCTTACTTCAGCTAATAATAAATATTTAAGTATTTATAATATTACATAATTTATTTAATTAATAGCTTAATAATCACTTTTCCAAATTTTATTGCTAAAGATAAGCCAACTTATTCATCATTTGAATAAATATAAAAAGTATAAAATTAAAGTAATATATATTAAATATATTCACGAATAACTAGACCAATTATAACAAGTCATTCTACGGAGATAAAACCAAAAAGAATATAAACCAACTCTAGTTGCTCTAATCGAATGTCTTCGGACCTTTGACATCACATCCGTATGCATTCGGGCATTGGGAATATTTTGACTTTTTATTACTTTTTATATTTTTTCTAGATGTGTCCCAATTCCGAAGAAAGCACTCGCATTCTTATCAAAAATCGGAAAGCTCAATCTCAAGCTCGAGGATTATTTAAAAAGCCGGAGCCGTGAGTCGCGGAGCATCAGTTTAAATTCTTCAAGTGAAACTTCCACAAAAAAGTCAAACAAAAAATTAGAAAATGATCCTACCAGTGGTCCTCATTTCTGCTACATTTTTTATTTCTACCTCCTTCGGATCGGAAGAAGTAATAGTCGTTTGGAGTGCTTTTGTTTCGAAAATTAATTTAAAATTCCACTTCCACAGTCTTGTTATCTTACAGAGGAGCAGGAGGACGAGTGTGCCTCTGTTTGTTACCCAATCGTTAAGCCGTTGTTGAGATACTTTGAAAAATGTCAGAGCAAGGAAGCCCAGCTGCAAAAAGATTACTCTGAGTTGGAGAAAATGGATCGGAAGAAATCTGCCCAAATACTACGCTGCCAGATAGATTTAAATGATGTTAGGGTTAAATATGAAAGGTTGCAATCAAAGCATCTGGAAGTTGACCATCTTGAAGCTTTAATAAATCAAAAAAATGAGGAAATTAATCTTTTAAAAAATCAAATTAGTGATCTAAAAAAATCAAGTGAACTTGAAATGTTAACAAATAAATTTAGCAAAGACCTTAAAAAATTTGGTGAAATAATTGAAACTTGAGAAAAGTTAACAAAACAACTGACTAATTTTAATAATCAAACGAAGTCCGTAACCCAAGGTATGCTGGCAGAGCCCTGTAGTTTTCAAAATAAAATATGGAATTTCTTAGTTCTTCCAGATACTTGTCCACGAAGCCAAAAGGAAATGATGGTCCTCCAAGAAATCCAAATACCCGGATCACATCCGATGAAAGTGGTTTGTGTATCGGATAAGAATATTGGATCTGGTTGGATGATGGTTTATAAAAAACGTACATTTATTAATTTCAATCGCACGTATGAGGAATATGCAACGGGATTCGGAAATGTCGGAGCGGATTCTAGAGATGAGTTCTTTATAGGACTCGATACATTGCACCATCTGACGAATGAAAAACCTTATGAGATGTTTGTAAAGCGTGGAAAAATAAAATGTGACAACTTTGTTATTGGTAATCGACAGGAAGGATATATGTTGAAAGATCTTGGCGAGTGTACTGGAGAGTTATCATTCATCCCTAAGAGGGGCACCAAATTTACAACCTTTGATCGAGATGAGGATGGGTTTCTTAATCTCAATTTGGCAAGGGAACTTGGCATTGGCTGGTGGTTCCACTCTGAGTTTCCGTGAGTATTCTTATTTAATTTTACCAATCACTAAACCCCTAAAAGTATATTTTTAAAATAACTGCTACGAAATAATAATTTTGTAAAATCTTTTGTCATTTGGTAGAATTGGTTCCTACAAATCGTTCTATTCTATAAACATGCTGATACGAAAAAAAAACTGAAGGAAACGAGCAGCGATTCGACATGGCCTTTGGATAATGATATAATATAGATATAATATTAATTAACATGAATTTAAATGTAGTTATTTTATTATTAGGATAGGATCTGTAATTCCAATACTTTTATAAAGATTATAAATAAAGATTAAAAATAATAAAAATTAAAATATATGTTTTTTAATGATTAAAGTTTCTAAACTTTAAAAATGTTGACATAAAGAAAAATTTTAATTTCAGGAATTTCAGTTTCAGCCCCAAAAATGCACTTTCTAAAATTAACAATAGTGTATTTTATGGATAGGTATGTGGAGCTTACAGTGAAATCATATTGGATATAGCCCGATCCTTAAAATAATCTGTAGGATGTAGACGACCAATCCCAACCGTACCTAGTTACATATTATTCTAAATCAGAAAGAACTAGTAGCCTTTGGAAATCCATCAGACATTTGTGACTTCCAACTTAGAATCACAAAACCCAGAACGAGACTAGGACTCAAACGTAAAAATTTTAAACAAAATATCTAAAAACTTTTCGCAAACCCCATTGGACCCATTGGACCTTCGTATAAAAGCCACAAGAGTTGTGGGGAATATGTCGTACTTTTGCAGGGAATACCATGATGTACCCGTGAGCACTGGCACCACCATTATGGCCATGGAGTACGCTGATGGAGTGGTGCTCGGAGCCGATTCCCGCACCAGTGCCGGCATCTTCGTGGCCAACAAAATCACGGATAAGCTGACCAAGGTGGCGGACAAGATATACTGCTGTCGCAGCGGATCGGCAGCGGATACCCAGGCGGTGGCCGATTTGGTGACCAATAACCTCTACTATGGTGAGAACCACTGCGGCAAACCGCCCACCGTATGGGAGGCCGCCTGTGAGTTCCGGTACCTCTGCTATAACTTTCGGGACGCCCTCCTAGCCAGCATTATAGTGGCGGGATACGATGATGAAAAGGGCGGCCAGGTGTACAGTATTCCCCTGGGCGGGATGCTTGTTCGGGATCCCTGTGCCGTCGGCGGTTCTGGCTCGTCCTATATTTTTGGCTATGTACACGATCAGTGGCGTCCTGGTTTTTCAAGGGAGCAGTGCGTTCAGTTTATCCGAAAGTGTAAGTCTAGAGGGGTTTTAAGAAATTGATTTTCAAAAATATACATATCTTGTCAAAAAGGGATGGTGGTCTTGCAAGTGTTTGTTGTTCTGATTTCTATTATTTTGAAACCGTAAACATTTAATGTTTCATTTTTTAAAACTAAATTTAATTAAACGACCAATAAGCGTAATTCTTTTAATTATTGTAGAGAATGAAAAAGAAATTTAATGCCAGAATTGAAAAAATTATTCAGTCATAATTATTTTCGGCAACAAGATCTTCTTGAATATTCTTTTCGCAATATACATATATTTATATATTTTTGTAAGCAATATATATATTTTTAAAAGATATTTGTCTTGACAGAGTTTTTGAAAAATATGCCTAAAGTTTTAGGTCCAAATGTTAAGCCAATTCATGTATTCCCTTTTCCACTTCAAGCTTTACATTTTTATATTTTACCTTTTGTTTTAATATTTTTAACTTTTAGGCATTCGGCTGGCCATTCACCACGATGGCAGTTCCGGCGGAGTGACCCGTATTGCAATTATTACAAAGGATGGAGTCGAAAGACGTTTATTCTTCAACACGGACAACGGAGAGCCCATAACTAGACACAAAAAGCTCACCGATCTCGAAACCTCTGACGATGACGACGATTGAGAAATGGTCTTTTTTCAATTTTTAATTTTTGCATTTTTTTCGCATTGAACAAAATTTTATGTGATAGGATAAATTTATTTTTGTGTGCAAGTGAATCTTAAGAAATATAAACTAAAAATGCTAAAAGTGTGAAAATGTTTGTGAGGTAGAGGTTTGTATGGAAAAGACATGTTGTCCCTAATTCAGTGGACTTTTTGTTTGTTTTTTTTTTTTTTTTTTTAGGATAGTTTTAATGAGATTTTTTTTTATAGTATTGTAACTCAAAGGGCTGTCTTAAATCGGATCAGGGTCAGTTTTGCAAAAAAAAACGCGCATAAGTTTTTTAGGAACAATGGAGGTGTGTGGACCTTCTAGCTAAAAGGGACTATGCAATTTTGGGGGAATATTGTAGTGCTGTTAGTGTATATGGGCTAAGTCTAGTCTCCAGAGTTAAAAAATATTCCAAAAATGATTACAAAATTATTTGAGTTTTTTAACCTTTTCACCTTTTGGCTAAAAATAAAAATAAGCTTGAAAGAAACTTAGGTGAATATTAAAAAAAAAAGGAATGTATGTTGAACAATAAAAAAAAACATGTAGAGTTATGATGCACAACAGAAACAAGTGGATAAAAATGCTTAAGCTGGCCAACTATTAAGGCCTAATGAAAACCATAAATTATAGGATTTAATTTCACTGTTTTTGCCAAAAAGCAAAAGGGCTAAAAATAATTACCAATTAATTTGCAACAGGCAGCTGCTGTCAGCATGCAACACGGTCCCTCTTTTCAGTTTTTTTCTTTTTTTATTTATTTTTTTTCGACTGATTGAGTTGCTACGTTCCAGAGAAAGCCACGGCAAAGAAATGGTCTTTTAATAGCAAGCTAAATACGAAAATATCTACATACTTACATATCCATTGACATACATACATATATATGTATTTATATGTATAATTTTTTTTTTATGAATTTCTGTATGTAGATGAGCGTTTAACGCGCCGCTTGCATGTGAAACGAACAAGTTGTTCTGGATGTTTTCTCTGGGACCTACAGCTGCTGCACCTGCAATGCATTTAATTGCTGTTAGAACTTGGCCAGCTCCATAACGGAGTGACTGCCGCCGCATCCCCCTCTGCGGTGCAAGACCCCTCCCCCATTTTGGCGATGATGATGAATTGCATTTTGCACACTTTAATTGGATGAATGTGTAATTAAGTTGTGTGCCAGTTCATAAATTGAATGCACCAGATCCGACTTCAGAGCTGAAAAGTTGAAAGCTTCCAAATGCAAACTGCAAGATGCTGTTTTTTTCTTTTTTTTATTTTTGTGCCAGTCAGGTCTGTTGAGAAGAGAGCCTGGTTTTGGACACAGTTTCCGTGAAATCTTCAAATCAAACAAGGCACATGCGTTGCGCATGCGCATTGTCCGCTCTGCATCTGCAACGCTGCCACGCAAGTCCTGCCACATACACTGAACCTTTTTTGAAAAAGAGTCAACTACAGGGATAGTTCTTGTACATTTTTATTTTAATTTTTCACCTCAGATTTTAATCAAATTTATTTTATAATTTAATTTGATTTGATTTAATTGTATTTTGTATTTATATACAAATATATATATAAATATTGAATTTATATATTTTATATTGTACAAAGAATGTTCGCGATTTAGATTTCTATTTATTTTTAAAAAATTATATATTTTTTTAATATTTTTATTTTTAACTTTACTCCGAATTGGAGAACTCTGAAGTTATTTGTCCTACTGCATAAAAGGCAAGTGATTTAACTAGTGTATTATTAAAATCTACTTTTGACCAATTGAGTCCACGGGCTTTTTTTTATATTTTGAAAGCAGTTGTCCTACTGCATAAAAGGCAAGTGATTTAACTAGTGTATTATTAAAATCTACTTTTGACCAATTGAGTCCACGGGCTTTTTTTTATATTTTGAAAGCAGTTTTATTAAAAATTCAACACTCCTAACGGATCAATCAAACTTTTAACGTAAAAGTTAAATTTCATTACTGATTTTAGCAAAAACACTTCCCAGATTGTTGGTGTTTTGGAAATCACCCAAAAAAGCCATGTGGTTCACCCAAAAGTGAAACGACTTCTTTATTCATCTGCTTTCTAAACATTTTGTATTACTTTTAATAATTTTTTGCACAAATTTCGATTTTAAAGGGGAAATAGGGCTTAAAAGTTCTTTTTTACTTTTTGTCAATTTAGCTTTTTGAAATTTTAAGCCTTATATAGTGTTGATTTCGAATCTCCTTAACTTCAATTTGAGCTTCAAAACTAAGTCCTGTAACGATTTCTTTAAAAATATACCATACAGTTTTTTTTTACCACAGAAATAGACCTTTCTACGGTACATTTTTTCCAAAAATGAAGAATATTCACGAACTTGCCTTGACTTTTAGATTTTTTTTTACATATTAATGCAAATAGTCCATCCTTATTTTTAGACGGTTCAGAGTAATTCAAATTTCCATAATTTTTCATCTTTTTTCATCCAAATTTTACACATTATAGTATAATTATCGAAAAATTACTTAAAAGATGCATTAAGTATATAAATTATTCGTAATCCCGCCTAAATTCTTTAATTCATTTACAGATAAATAACCTTGATATCAATTAATTGCTCAATCCATTGATTCAAAGTTAAAATTCAAACATTTTTCCAAAATAGAATCATCTTATTTTTAAAAATAATTATTTTACAAAAAAAAAAAACAGCCCTTACTCGTAAAATAGTAAACACAATTATTTAAAAATATATCTAGTGTTTTTTTTTGGGATTGAAATTGAAATTGATTGAAATTGATTGATTTAAATTTTTTGGGACCTATTGAAAATATACATTAATAGACCTTCTTCCCTTTGCATTATTTCGTAGTCCTGTGCAACCATAGATTTTTCCCAGTGTAATATACATATAAGGCCTATGGAGAGCTTCGAGGTAGGGGGAAGGAGTGTGTGGAGGACTTCCTCCCTGGGCCACCTTGCTGGCTGCTCTGCTCACTGAGTCGTCATCGTCGTCGTCGCGTTCCACTTCGTGTTCATTAACGCTTTGCCCATTAAGTCGAGGACGAGGACTGGTTCCTGGACTTTCGGGAAGCGTTTAATCGCATTTACATAGATTAGGCAGAATTTGTGTGAAATTGAAACTGAGCGAATGAAAAAAAGGAAAGGAAAATAAAAGTAAGAAACAAATGGAAATAAATAAATAAAAAGCGTGCAAAGTGCGAAAATGACTGGCACAGGTACTGAGGTACAGAGTTCCAGGTAACAAAGTGATTGATTGGGAAACTTGAGCAAGGTGTTGGGGCTTAGAAAAAATATTCATTTTATTATTAATCGGTGCTCGGCACTTTACAAAATAATATAAATACTAAAACATATAAATTTCATTGTTAGAAATGAGAATATTTGAAGATAAGAAGTATCTACATGAGAAGGAAAACAAAAACTTTCTGGAAGAATTTGTAGCCTTGTATAACAATTTTCTATTAATGTAAAGAATTTAAATATTCTTAAAAACAAAAATTGTTTCTTAAGTTATAGTTCAAGTATTAATTTTTCAATTTTAGTATTGATTCTAGAGTGTAGTTAGTGTAGTCTAGAAGTGTAGTTAGCATAAATTAAGATATTACTATTTATTTATTATTAGTATAAAAATTTGTTAGCTATTTTATTTTAATTATTAATATTGTATTAATAAGTAAGAAATGCAGTATTAGTTTTAGTAAATATTAATAGTAGAATTCCAAAACACTTACCACATTTGGTGTTAATTTCCATTTGAGTAAAAAACCGAGAATGAAAATTAGTCTAAAATTTAATATTAATGTTAACTAAACATTTAATCTTGTATTCCTTAGTATTAATTTTAGTATTAGAATGAAGTAAAGTATTTAGTTAAACTTAAATATTAATTATTTTTTAAATATGATACAAATATTCTTAGTGATGTTTAAACTTTTAGGAGTATAACTACAAGATACCCGGTACTGGAGCAGAAAATAATTAAAATTATTGATATAATGTTTTAATCAAAAAGTAAAATCAAATGCATTCTAGTATGGTTGACAATACTAGTAGAACACTGTTATTATCTGACTTATTTTAAAATATAAATATCCGTATAAATATTTACAAATACAAAGATAAGAACCCTAACAGGCTCTTAATGCTTCATATACAAGTGCAACTACAAGATACCCGGTACTTGACGATAAAAACCAAAAAAATCAATCTAATCTTTATACATTCTTAGACCTATGACTTATGAGACATCCGTTCGTTCATTTTAAGATGGAAACACGCTCGTGCCATTTTTTTGGTGCCATTTTTTGGGGCAACTACTCAGGCTCCATGGCATTCTCATTTCAGGTCCTGTGCCTCCTTTTTTCGCAATCTTTGGTGCATATTTGGTCCTTGCTAGCTTTCTTGTTCACTTTGTCCTGGTATTCCCTTTTTATTTCCTTGATGTTTTTTGTCCGTCTCTCGATAGTTTTCTAGTTTCCATTTTTTTTTGTTTCGTATCTCAGCCGAAATTTCTTCATCAATTAAGAACATCAACTCGTCGAAGGAACTGCTGCACCGAGCCAGAACAAAGACTGGAAAAACAAGCCAAGAAAACCAGATAAGGAACGGCAGGAGGAGGAGGCCTGTCCATACTTGTTATTATCCTCCGAGAGTCGAGGACGCTGACACTTTTTCGTCATTACTGTTAAAAGCGTTAAGGCAAAGGACATAGGACGGAGGATGCTGGATGCAGGACGAACAACAAAATGAAAGAGTTTTATCAGCGAAAATAAAAGAAGAGGAGCAGGAAGGGAAATGCCAAGGAAAAAGTGCAAGGAGCTGGCATAAAATCCCTCCAGTGGGGAGAGGAAGGGGCCCAGGATGTTTTGTTGGCCAGGGTGCCAAAAATTGAGGTTATCGCTGAGAAACGACAACGCCGAGAACGAGAAAAGGAAGTGCACTGCCACAAGAAAGCCAACAAAAACTAATCTACCCAAAAAATGTCCTTCAATGTATGGTGTCTAC